TCATTGTTAGTGTATGTGTAGGTATAGGGAGGCACTTACATGCATGCGCTTGCATTGCGAAGAAAAAAAATAAAGCTTCCACTTTCATCCATAAAAGCTCCCAGGGCATGTTTACTGGAAAACCCAGCAGTTTTGGAAGAAGTAACGATGCACAAATAAAGACCTGCACGCTCACAAAATGAGTAAGTGTGATCTAACCTTTACACTGAGACACAAGCACTCTGAATAATACTTTGGACAAAAATACATTCGGCTTCAGATGATGAAAGTGTTCTAAAGGCTTTGAAAGCTACTTGCCACTGAACAGCCAAACAGACAAAACCTCCAGGCCCATGAAAAACAGTGACACACTCTTCAGTGAGCTGTGGCTGGAAACACTGGTTAGGAAGTCATATATTAATATAAGCATAATCTAAGTTTTAAAAACATCATCAGATATTATTATTTCTCTATTGTGAACGGCATTTCCTACCAATCTTTTCAGTTGTGCCTCCCACTGGAGGATTTCTAAGGGAGAAGGCCTGGGGAACAGAGAGGAAATTCAAAGTCAGACTCATCAGGTTGTGCCCCATAAATAGGCAGGTGCCTTTGATTCTGCCCACTAAGCCCCGCCCAGCATCAGCTCCCTTGTCCCTAAACAATGCGATGGATGCCGGCCCAGCCTGGCCCCTGGTCACCTCCAGCCTGCGCTTTGGCTCACCTTGCCTGAGCTCACTGGCACCTGCAGCCCTGCGCTGCTGACAGCCCCTCCGCGGCAAACTTCCCTTCATGGCCTCGTCTGCTCCACTCATTCACTCGTATCTGGCTGGGGGCTTTTCCCTTCCATGAGTGCTGTGGGGAGGCCACGTCTCTCACCGATTTTTGCAGCCCCCAAGCCCAGCACAGTGACCAGCACATAGCTGAATATGCAGTTAAGTATTTGGAAAATGAACGAGTACCTGACTAAAGGAAGTACCATATACAACCAGCGACCACATCTGGGAGTAAATGAAATCTTTTTTAGATAATATTACTGTCACTGAAACTGGGGCAAGGGAAGGTTGTCGCACACTCCTTAGAAGAGGCAGTCAGAGTTCTGATGACACTGATAATTTAGCACTGTATTCCTCTATTTTTCAGTATTTCCCATCCAACCAATTTTTGCATTGTTTCTCCAACATAAACAAGAAGCTGACCCTGGCCACAGCGCAGAGCCAATGCCGTGCAGGCCAAGCTGGCTCCTACCCTGCCTCGGGAAGTGGCAGTGGACCCTGCAGATGCACCCTGCCTCCGGGGCAGCTAGGAAAGCGCTGGTGCTGCTCGAGGGGGAAAACCTGCCCTCAGCCCACCAGGCAGAGCCCAAAAGCGCGGGCACAGGAACCCGCCCGGTTGCGAAGGGCTAGCCTTGGGCATGTACACTTCCACTGAGATACCAGTCCTGGCCATGCCAGACCTGAAGCCTCTAAGGAAATGAAGCCATTTTCATTTTAGCCATTAACTGAGAGTGAGAAGGCTGGAACTGCTGGTTTATCTGAATGTGTGACATTTGCCAAGGCTACAGGAGGATCAGAGTCTCCAGAAACCCCTTGTCCACTGGCAGTGCAATTACTAGGGAAAGGATTAGCAGAGAGAAAACTGCTTCTAATATAACGCCCCTCACTGGGCATTTATAACATGAGCCTTAACCATCCAGAGTGGGTGTTACAGGCTGTATTTATAAATGTGAGTCATCTCCTGTTAGATGGCTGTCTTCAGGGTGACGGAGAAGTCAAAACTTGAGACAAGTATTTCACATCACTTCCAAGTGCATGCCGTTATTTTTTGAATTATCAATTTACTTGTGACATAAAAAGACTCATGATATACATTTGAACAATATATTTGAAAAAGTTAGACATTCTCAAGTGCTACGAGTATGTTTTAATATGGCAATGGGCTTTTGTGAAAAACACTTGCTTTCTATGGTATTTTTATAGCAGTCTGAATTACTAAGTAAATATATAAACACAAGAACCATACACAGGGCCGGCCGAGTGGTTCAGCTGGTTAAGAGCTTGCTCAAGAGTTTGAACTCTGAGCAACTGCGGTTCGATGCCCAGCCGAGCTGAGCTGCCGCTGAGCTGCCAACAGGTGGCAGAATGGCTCAGCAAAGAAAAAAAGAAAAAAAGAAAAAAAAAAGAACCATACACAAACTTAAGGTAGGCATTTCTTTTTTCTCCCTTTATTTTGCATCCATCCCTTTATCTCTATCGCTATACATTTATCAATAATTCGCTATTCTTATAGACTTAACTTTCTGAAAACCTTCGTTATTCATCTATCATATAGAAACTACCTTTAATAAAGGTAATTAGAATTATAATTGCCAAGTAAAGAGCTCCTTCATTTACTGATTTAAGAATTATTTGTCAAGTGGTGTCAAGGTGACAGGGCACAGACATTGTGGGGTGGCGAGTACGGCCGTGAAGAAGACAGAGTTCTCAGCCGTCTGGCACTGTGTGCTAGTGGAGGGACACTTATTATAAATTACTAGATGAGCAAGTAAACATGGCAATTTCAAATAGTGGTAAATGGTATGATCAGCCTCTTCGAGAGTAACATGTGAACTGGGACACGAATGTGAAAGAAATGGTTATGGCATTTAAACATTGAATACATCTTTAGACACTTAAAAGTTGTCATTACTCTATGCACTGCTAATACCAGAAGCAGACTAGGTATTAGAAAACGTGTGTGTGTGTGAATCTCAAAAGTGGGGTAAATTTCAAGGCAAGGGATTGGAGCTGGCACTGATGCCCACCAGGCATGACCTCTGTTACCCTGCACAGCCCCACTGCGCTGATGCACAGAACAAAAATAACACTCTGCTTTCCAAACTCGCTGACAAAAGAGTGAGTGTGCGCTGCGCCTGCTGTGTCACTTGGTACCCAGCAGAGCCTCAGCGCATCCTAAGTGCACACTGGCTCTTGCAGCCTTCACTCCTGAGCAAGCGAACTACCCTTTTAGATCCCTTCATGCTTCCTCCCTTTCCCTGTCATCCACTGGTCCTACTGCTCACTAATTATTCCTCAAGTCAGTTTTTAGATTTCACAAAAGGAAACTCAGAACAGGACAAGCAAAGCGCTAATATTTCTCTAGCTAAAGGGCTGGCAAGTGGTGCTCATGATATTTATTCTCATTACTGTATTCTATGGCAAGCGCACCTCATCTTGGGTTATATGTATTACCTTATATGCATTAAAAGCTACGTCTCCTCCTATCACACAGTGGATGTGTACTGAAGAATGAGAGGTAACGCAGCAAGAGAGAAGACAGAATAGAAAGGAGCCTAGGGCACAGAAGAAAGTGAGTTTGTGATGACCCAGGGGCCGTGACTGCCACAAGGTACCCAGGACCTCTTCTTCCAGCTCCAATGACAATCATGGGGTCTGTTGCAGTTCCTTGGAGGCAGGGGACAAGGATAATTTCAAGTCAGTACACTGATAGTTTTTCAAGTACTGGTCTGGTACTAGATGACCTGGGCAAAGGTGAGATCAAGCAGCCAGTGAGATGATGGGGTCAGAACAAAACCAACAATGTGACCACTGGCACACCATATTCTAAGTCCTTTAGATGCTGTAAAAAGTCAAGACAGCTGGGCAGAGAGCAAGAGGGATGAAACACGCAGAAGAAGCAAGAGGGATTAAGGCTCACGAGGTGATTCTGTGTGCATAGCACTATGTGCCACGTTTCTCTACTTCAATGCTATGATGTCTATTCAAGCCACATGATTATATAATTTCAGCAAACTGACATATGGTCAATGGCCAATGGCATCCTATGACCCCAGGGGTATTTGCCAGGAGTGCAAAACAGCCAGGTTACAGGTCTGAGATGGGCATTACATCAGAGCCAGGCTGGGATGATGATGGGTGGCACAGCCAGGCCCTGGGAGTGCATCTCCTGGGTGGCCAGCCCATCTAGGGTCAGCTGCCGTGAGGCTTTGCCCATGGGTCAGGGTCTTCATGCTGGCACTGGAGAGCCACACCAGTTTTAACTACATGTGTCCCTTTCCTACACAACAGATATCTTATCTGTGGCTTACAAATGTGAAGACTGAACATCAGAGAGCCGATTGGTGACAGCTGTGCACAGCTGGTTGATGCCAAAGCTGGAATCTGACTAGATATCCCTGACTCCAAGCTATATTTGTGACGACAGAGGCTCATCCTGAAAACATCCCCAGAACCCTTTTCTATCTCCCGACTGCTATGGTGTAAGCAAAGTGAGTCATTTGTTTTGCTCCAACTTACCACACTTTATTTGACCATATTAAAAAAACAAAGAAACACTGCAGAAAATGACATCATATCAAAATGGAGATTTATAATATTTAAACACTAACTTGCCTGCCAAGGAGCACTGCTGGTAATTGAACAAGAAAAGAATTAAAACTATAATTGAGAACATTCTGGAAAAACCAATGGTATTCATCATTTCTGGTAAATATGGTATCTTACTATAGCTAATAGGTTTTTTTTCTAGATGTCCTGTGATAGGTATGCCTTCCAATCTCACCAGCACTTATTTTCCATTAGACTGAAGACCCTGCTGTCACCTCCCCCCAACCCCCACCCCCAGGCACACCTTCCCCCTTGTAGCAGGCGTGAATTATGCCTGGCCTTTGATTTCGGCTCCTGTCCTCGCATGTCTGCACAAGCAGGTATGAGGTCAGTTTTTCCACTGGAGAACTACAATCGGTAAGAGGAGCTGAGATAAAAAGATGTACCATATTCATTTCTCTACACAGTGGATTTCATCCTGACTGAATAACTACTGCTTCTAAAGATGGGCTACTGACTAATGTCTGTGGGGGGGGAGTGGGGGGGAGGAAAAAAAAAAAAGTTATGTTTGGCCCAATAATTAACTCTGGAGTCCCGGGTCAGGCCCAGTGTCACAGGTACTCAGTACACAAATCCAGGTGCAGTCAAGCACTGACGTTTTGCTAGAGAAACAAAGAACAGCTTCGGGAAAACACATACCTGATGGCACTCGCTGATAAGTGACCATAGGAGCCACTTGCTGAAGAGCTGCTGCGGGAATTATTCAGAATTGTGACCAAGGAGTTGGGAGACGTCCTTATCATGGTCTGAAGGTCAAAGCTATGATCGGACAGTGGTGATAAGGATAGTGTACGTTTTCGGCTTGGCCTGGCTGACAGCCGGGGGCTGGGGAATCTGGTGCCTGTTATATAAACAAAACAGAACCTGATTACCTGTGGTTGCATTCAGTACCTTCTATTTACTGCTACTCATCTGTGTGCAAGGAGTGAAGGGTAAGAAGTGGCAACTTGGGATGACAAGTATCTCTCTTCCCACTTGTGATCTACTGGCTACAATTGAGGAAATTAGGGAGAAATATTTATCTTCCAGGGGCTTACCTCAGGGGAGCTCTGTTTATTAATGTGCAGGCAAAATGATAAATTACTAAACAAAAGGGAAAGACTTTTATGTGCTATCCCTCTCATTTCTAGTGATTTATAAATCTGACGGTTCCTTAGATATTCCCATCATTAATTCACCACAAGCAACAAAGACAGTGGTTCCCACAGTTACACAACATACCACCCTCCCACCCCAACATGCACCATTTTAAGGCAATGAACCAAAGGAAAAATGAATTAAAGCACCCTAAGATACAACATTCAGCTTGGTTATGGCCTCATTCCCCCACTATTTCTGTAGTTATCTGATCCACCGTATGCTTAAAGCTTTACTAAAACAACTGATAAATACATTATCTTAAATTAATGATGCTCGATTGGGGGGGCGATACTGCCCCCAGGGGACATGTGACAACATCTGGAGACATTTTGGTTATCGCAACTCACGGGGTGCTAGCCCATCTTGCGGGGAGAGGCCAGGGATACTGCTGGAACCCTGCAGTGTGCAGGGCACCCCCACAACGAACACTCATCCCGCCCCACTTGTGCCAAGAGTGAGGAGCCTGGCCCTGACTTCCCCATGGTTTAACAGCATAAGTCCCCAAAACATTGAAAATCTTAGGATGTGATTTGTTTATAGATTTTCCAAGGTGGAGAGGGAAAATATTGTGTAAGCATTATAATGAGATTTGATGAGTCTATTTTAGTTCTCTGGACTTATTAATTCTTGATATTTATTAGAATTTTTTTCCACCTTCAAGAAGATTCCACCAACGCATCTCTAACGTGGAGGTCAGTAACTCACACTTAAATGCATGCCAACTTACTACAATGCCTTATACCTGGAGAGTTAAAAACTAAATGCCCCTATGCCTTCAATTTGGTAGATATTAGAGATTTGAATTTCAGGGCATAGCTATGATTGTGGCCACTGGCCCACACCTGCCTTTTCTAAGGTCACAGTGACATTACAGAGTCACCAAACTAAAGTTTAATGAAAGAATGAGAACATAATCCCAGTAGATTAAGAGGGAAATAAACCACAATTACTTGTAAATAATAATGAAAGATTTTCTATGTCAGAGCATGGGTATGCCTGCTTACAGGAACATGGCAATTTCATGGTACCCATAGCATTGGAGTAAAAGGTAAGCCTTCTTTATATAAAAATGTCTAGGCACTGGGTCCCAGAAAATACATTGGGAATATTTTCTTCATCAGAGGTGGACCTTGACAAAAGATAACAAACCACCATGCTTTAGTTTAATGAAATGAAACAGAGGAATATAAAGGCTCTACAGATAATATACTTTATAGTTAATAAAAAAATAACCCACAAACTGGAACTTAGTAAGTTGGTACCATCTATATATAAAACTGGAAAACCAATTTGAATGATGAATGTGGAACCTACTAAAATTTTTCTTCCAGGCACATTTAAAATTGAGTTTCTTCATTCAGAATAGTTTCATTACCAGCCTGATTTAGGGCATGTTAGTACAAAAACAGCAACCCCAACTATGTACACATCTTCTAGTGCTCAGATCAGCACCCTACTTTTATCATGGCATCTGCCTTACACATAAATGTTTCACATTTACTCACTCTGAGAGGCTAATTTATCAGAGAGGTTTTTCAGTGAAGAAATACATTCCACTTGCAAAGGATTCCAAGGACAAAGCAGACTCATGGTGGACGTCCATATAATCCTTAACAATAACCTTCCTGCTGGAACTCACTGGGACTCGGTGATCACTGGCAGAGTTAGAACAGCAAGATAATCTGCACAGAGCTGATTCCTGGAACAGCTTTAACTTTTTAAACTACTAATTAGATAAAGAGGCCATCTGATATTATAAAACACTAGAGGCCTTATATTCCTCTCACATCTCCAAAGACAAAGCAGGTGCCTAACTCCGTCCATCCATGGACCCTCAAGTTGCACTAGGCCTGGCTGGTCCAGCTCCTCTGTTTTTCCCTCCAAGATGGGCACTTATATAAGTCAGTTTCCACCAATATAAACAGTGTGGTTTTCAGGAGCCCTCATTTCTAATATGTTCCTTATAGGGATATATTACTTGCTCTCCTGTCTTTTAAGATCACTCAAATCCCAAAACGTAGAATTAGAGCCATAAAACAAATATGTTCATTCTGACATGCAACACAGAAACTCTCTCTCCTAAAGCTGGCTGGAACCAAACAATGCCCACTGGTGGCACATTTAAAAGTCAGGTGCTCAGCTGAAACCAGTCTGAAGAGTCCCAAAGACCTATAACAATGGGTCAGAGAGACCAGCTAGATTCCAAGTTGGCTCTCTACTGCAGGTATACATCCAATGCAGGAACTGTAAGTTATTTCACTTGCTATTGGAAAAGTCTCTTAAATTCTGGTACTCTTCCTAACACTCTGTTTAACTAGATACTTCGGTTATTTTAGAGAGAAGGAATACAGCACTTTAAGCACTTTGCAATCCTTTATTTAATGTGCTCGTCCCAAGCAAAGAAAGATAAAGGCAGCATTGCCTGTGGGACAGTGATTGGGATCCTGTGATGAAGGGACAGGAGACAAGGTGAGCATTTTCAAAACAGCCGAGAGAGCAGTGGCCCAAGTATTCACTGGTCAAACCGCTTCCTCCTTAACTAGAAGCCCAAGCATTCTTATTGTTCCAACACAGACCTACCTCTCTGATTTGACTTTCTGTTAATTGTTTTGTTTCTCTATTCTAATAAAAAATTCTGACAAAGAAAAAGGAGGTTTCCTTTTATGTGATGAATGATAGGACATCTAAATTCCTACTTAATGACAATCAATTTACCATATATTTAGGCAAATTAAAATTCCTTTAATTAGTTTTTACAAAGTAAAAGGGTAGCTTCATCCTTTATTTAGATAAAAACTGCCACTGCCTGACTAAACACATTCTCATCAAATAAGGAAAGTAATATGGGCTGACCTTCCAAGGATTCTGTCTTATTTTAATTCTTTATTTGGAGATTTTAAATAACTAATTTGCATAATAACACCAAACATTTTTCTCCCAACAATCCCTAATTGCAATGTGGTTATGATGAATCTGAAACATAAGCTCTCCACTCTACTGAGCAGAACAACAAAAGCCCTGCAGAAGATGCAGTACATTTCTTTCACTTTGTGTGTGGTAATGAACGCCACACTGGAAACCAGTGCTTACGTTCCTGGGTAATACAGCCAAGCGGTTCACGACAGTAAGACAAGGCTGTACACTTTACTCTGTGTGACGCTTTCCCAGGCCTGAGGACTGGATTACTAACTACTGCTAGAGCTGACAAATGTATACCCTTTTCACAAAAGAATCGAAACAAACTATAAATGGAATAGCACAAGTCAATCACTGCTGCTAGAAAAAAACAAATAAAACCTCAAGCATATGTACTACTTGAAGTCACATGACTGTCATATTCAAAGGACAGTGGCTTTAATTGATGTACACCTTGGATGATGTTTCCGGGTCACTTCCTGGCACCTGACAAATGGATGTGGACTCCAAGAATCTGAATAAATGAGAACTCTTGGGTGTCCTGAAAAGTGATAATCATAGCCTCGTTTGTCTATATGTCTTGGTAAGTGATCCAAAGGAATCATCACAAGCTTAGAGGGACCCAAAAAAAAGTTACATAAAACACATCTAACGATCCCATTTTCTTCCACTGCTGTGTACCAAAAACAGCCCTTCCTAATTTGGAAGTGCTTTTTATTTTTCCTAGATAAAAGGTCTTAGTGAAATATTTTTAATGTAAAGAAAATACGAGGCAAAGAAAATCAAATGAGAAAAATGTAAAACCAAGTACAGGTATTTCTTTAAAATTAATTTTAAGGCATAAAATTTATAAAACTCAGGGATGACTGGGCAAAGTACATTCACGGAATCAAATATGTTTCCTTGTTTTGTTATAAAGACATTCGAGGCAGGGTCGTTTTTGTATATCTGCCATATCACAATTGCCTACATCTTCCAGCTTGTTCCCCTGAGCTAAACAGGGAGTCCGAAGATGGCCAAATCTGTGGCCGCTTCCTAGGAAATCAAGAGATCCAGAGCACCACAGGTTTCTCCTCCTCCTCTGGTTTGTAAAGTTATACAGTCACCTAATCTTTGTGTCTTCCTCTCCATTTCATGAGCTGACACCTGCCACCCACAGAACTGCAGAACGCACCCCCGCCCCCCCCACACACACACACACACTTACTATCCATGGCGTGCAGATACTCCATGTGGATGGCCCCAGCGCCAGCAGTGGCAGTTGTGGGAAGGAGGTCTGCATAGGGGCTGCGCTGGCCGGCTAACAGAGCCATCTGATGGTAGTACTCTGCTGGGCTGACTCCAGCGTGGGGCGCTAGATGGGGACACAAGAAAAGCGTGCTTACTTGATGACAGGAGGTCACAGGTCCACATCAGCTCATTCTAGTAAAAATCCTTTAACTCAAATTATGCTTTCACTTACATGTACCACATACCTTTTATTTGAAAATAAAACTGAAGGAAAATACAGAAAATGAAATATACTACAAAATATTTGAGGTTAGTTTTGAAGGAGAATGAAGTTTTGACACCCCAAAATATACCTTTTGCGGTACTGATTTTTAAGCTCGTGTTAAGAAACAAAGGATTCAGAAAGAACCCTCCCCTTGCCTGCCTAAAGGAATTCAGACAGAAATACCTGCTTAAAGGATAGGAGCATCACCTTAGCATCATATTATAAACTAAAAGTGGCAGAGAGGGAGAAATCCAGCCAAGCCTGTTTGTTGGACACCCCTCTGTGTCCCACTGTTTCTGGGTGACCCACCAAGAATTTGTTTACCACATGTTTGCTCTTTCTTGTCTACCTGTAAACTGCCCGCTTCCCTTTGAAATCCCAGACCCCTGCTTCCCTCTCCTTTGTCCAGGATGGCATGGAAACCTCAAAGCCCAATGCGTCTCCAGGTCTCATATTCTGATGGCACCCCCGCATGAACATCCGTGATAAATTGTGGACACTCTCCCCTGTTGATCTGCCTCATGTTAATTTATTAGCCCAACTAGAAGAACTTGGGAGGAGGTTATTTTTTGGGCCCCCCTTCCTGGCCCACAGTTTAAAGAAATCACCAAGAATTCAAAATAATGAAAATTTACATATGTGCGTACCTCATTCTCTTGTTCGCCTCACAAAATAAAATCGTTTCTTATATCAAATCGTGTTCACATTTCTTACAGTAGTCGACAACGTAGACAAGTATGATCTTTCTCCAGACATATGTAAAACATTCCTGAGCCTTCTGGCAGGCTCTCACTATCTGGAGGACTGGGCAGGACCATGGAAAGGGCAGCACAGATAATAACACACAACTGGGCGATAAGCTGCAACTTTGTATTCCATAATTTAAAAGCTTTTTTCATTACAAAATCAAAACGAAACTGTACCTGCCAATCTAGAGCAATTTACTGGTAAGATCAGCTTTATAAGAGTGGGATAATAACGGGCTTCCACCTGCCAATTTATGTGCAAAAATGGCAGGACACTGCAGCAGTTCTGAGAGGTCTCCAGAGTCCAAAGATCTGGATACAAAAGCCAGCATCACCTGCTACTGCTCCATGATGTCACCTGTTACTGCTCCCTGACGTTGTTGGGGCAGTGAATGCAATGGTGCATGTCAAGTGCTAATTGGCACAGCATTCTATCAATAAAAGTTAGTTTTGCAATTATGCAGAAACACTAGCATTCTCACAATAGCCTTCTGTTTTATATTTGTGCCCAGACTTTTCTATACATGATAAATATAGATGTTTATTAAAAGCTTGGATCACAAGAGAGAAATATTAGTGACCTGACTTTATTTGACTGGGTATTAATTGGATGCTTAAGAAGCAGGAAGAGGAAAGCAGAAAAAAAGAATAAAAAAAATGTCTTATTCATACTCATCATGAAACACTGTGGGTAACAGAAGAGAAGATGCTTTAACTAGAAGTATCACTTTCCAGTGGCCCAACTAAATCCCCATGGGCCAGGCACAATTTCAAGTCCGTTGTTAGCTAACCTCCAGGACCCCTCTCGCCCTCTGTTCTCCTGGTTAGTCATTTGCAGGAACTCCCAAGTACTCCATTTTTCCCACTGTCAAACCAAATCCTAAGCAGAACTAACTCGCATTTGACTCTCATTTGCCTCTCTGATAGTTTTATTTTAAAAGTATGAATCTTACAAGCTTCCAGTTATAAGATATATAAGTACTAGGGATGTAATGTACAACATAATGAATATAGTTAATATTGCTAAACGGTATATCTGAAATTTGCTGAGAGAGTAAATCCTAAAAGTTCTCATCACAGGGGAAAAAAAATATATATTTTTTTCTTTTTCCTCTTTGTATCATAGATGCCAACTAAACTTATTGTGGTAATTATTTCACAATATACGCTGTACACCTTAAACTTACATAGTGCTTATGTCAATCATATCTCAATAAAACCGAAAGAAAAATAATGTGAATCTTGACCAAATGGTAAACCATTCTTTAGGAACCTTACAAAGTGTATTCACTGCATTGAATCAGAAGAAAAACAATGAGCTGAAAGCTGTTCCCGAAGCAGTGCTACTCCTAGAGGTACAACTGAGTACATGTTTACTGAGCAACCTCATCAGTTTCCCCGGCGACTACCCCACCATGCACAGCCAGCCTCGGAAAGTGGTCTGCCTGGAGAATGGGGACAGTGTCGGGTCATCAAATACTGCTCAGTGAGAGTCAGTGTACGGTGTTTCTCTGTGCTCTGAAACAAGCACCAGTCAGTGATTTGAGCGACCAGCTGCAAAGAACTCATAAGCCACTCTGTGCAATCAATAAGGCTTCTGCGACTCTGGACCTTAATTCGGGTTCCAGCCATTGTGGGCAAGTCCGTTTACATGCACATGCGTGTGATGGGAAATGCCTTTCCTGAATCAAAGGAACAGTTTAGAACAGTGGTTCTCAACCTTCCTAATGCCGCGACCCCTTAACACAGTTCCTCATGTTGTGGTGACCCCCAACCATAAAATGATTTTCGTTGCTACTCTATAACTATAATTTTGCTACTGTTATGAATCGTAATGTAAATATCTTTTTGTTTTCCAATGGTCTTAGGCGACCCCTGTGAAAGGGTCATTCGACCCCCAAAGGGGTCGCGACCCACAGGTTGAGAACCGCTGGTTTAGAACTTGTCAATTGCATAATATACAACTCCGATTAAAAAGAGTCATGTGAAAGTAATTGAGAGCATAACAACCAACCAGAATTGGATCCCTGAGAGCCTAACATAAGAATCAGATATTACAGAATTAAAGTCAAAGTTCGTTTCTTTTCCCACCACATCTCTCTTCCAATTTCTGTCTGGCAAGATCAAGGATAGAAGGTACGTGCATCAGCAGGTCTGAACCATCATGTTCTCTAAGACCTTGCTATTCAGCCTGGTCTATGGACCGGCACCATAGACATCACCTGGGAGCTTTCCAGAGTGCAGAACCTCAAGTGCCACCTGGACCCATCCCACAGAGAATCACATTTTATCACCATCTGAGGTGATCCGTATGCACACTGGAGTTTGAGACACACTGCTCACATCTGTATAAATGCAGACCGTAAAAGTTAATGCCGGATGGTGAGCAAAATGCACTATTATACACGCACGTTGCATGATAAGCTCCAGGGCCAGTTTAAACACACATGGAGCTTCAGAACAGAGCAGTGGATGAGAGCAGGGCCTTTGCAGTCACTGAGACCTGGCTTCGAGTTCCATCCCTGCCACTCGCAGTGGACTAGCTACCGGGCCGCTCTGCACACTGCTATCTGCACTGGGTAACAGCTCCGCCCGCATGGAGGTGTCCTAATGTTGTAACTAACGGGAGTATGCACTGAGGCAGTCAGCACAGTGTTTGGCACGTAAGAAACACTCAATAAACATCAGAACTACCCGATACCACGTCCAGGTGAGGCATGGGGAGTAATGGGGGATTTGGAAGCAGAATGCGGTGGTCTGACACTTACCGTCCGTGGGGCTCAGCCCCCGGGCCGCTGAGATCATGGACAGGGACGGGCTGCTGTGCAGGGACCGGATGTAATCCATGTAAGGGTTGATGTAGGGGTGCGGAGGGCTGAAGGGGGACTCGGAAGCGGCAGCAGGGTTCCGGTGCGGGGAGATCCGAATGAAGGGCAGGTCCGAGTACGTCGGGCTACTAGATAAGGCAGAAGGCCTAGGTAAAAAGAAAGCCAGATACATAGGGATGCATGAAATGAATGTCTCCATAGGCAGAAGCTATCTGTGAAAGAAAAGATTTTAAGTGTATTCAAGGTGTCTTGGGGGAGAAAACATCAGGCATTTACATTTCTAGTACTATTATCTTAAAATCACAGTGATATAATGCAAGTAGAACACTACTATAAAATTATTTGGGCAAAAAAAAAACCTGACCTTTGAGACATTTCACGGCACCTGGAATATAGAAAAATAAAGGTCTAAACAGGCATCTGAGCTGAAAGTAATTGCTGAGGTTATATTTTCCATTTGACCTGAACATTAATTGCACCATTCAAAACTTAACTCTCAGCATCGTGGTGCTGCATTCAAGAGAGAGACGAGAGAGAGAAGGAAAGGGAAAAAAAGCAAATGCACTGGGTCTGAGCATGCACATGGCAGTTACCCACAAATAAGAAAGCTAAGTGCAAAAGCGTGTGAGAAACGTGAAATCAGACACACTATTATGTCCATGCCCCGGCTTCATGGCTAAGGGTCTTCAAGGAGAACGAGACTTGTTTTACAGATCTGGGTTGCACTGTGTTGAAGGTAACTTCTCCGCTCCGGAAAGCAGCACTGAGTGCCAGCTTCCTCTCACACTCAGTTTTCACATGGCATCCTGATTAGCCACGTTCAGTGAACAGTTAGTAATTAAGCACTCCCGGGATTAGACAGTTGGAAAAGAGCGGGTTTTGGATCAAGCTCAAGCCTTGTTAGAGTGAATTAAGGCAGAATGGAGGCTTTGCCCTTTGGAGACAAACTCTCACACACACCTTGCTGCCACCACACCCCGGGGGCGCCTTCCTCACAGCCACTCCTGAAGCCCCAAGAACAGGCATTTCTAGAACGGCAGTCTGTGCAGTGCTCCTCCCGGCCTTGTTCCTTCTCTAATAGAAAATGTTTTGTGTGGATAAGCCAGTGAACTGGCCATGACAGGCTCAACACTTGTGCTCTCCATTTTCTCATTCGCGGAGGGTATGCCCATAAAAAGGAGAAGCCGAGACAGAGACAGATCTACTGAGAACGGCAAATTCCTCTTCTGCCTCTGGCTCTAAGAGTAAATGAAAGGGAGGGGAGACGCCTCCCAAAGCAAGTGCGTTCTGGCTGCCAGGGTCTGGCCCCATCACCCCGTCAGAATACAATCTTGGAAGAAGCCAGCTCCACCAAGTGCACAGCACAGGCACTGAAATAAATTAAACCAATGATCAGATAATGAAAATAAAAGAAAATAAAAGGTTTTACTCATATTCACTTCTCAGTAGAAAATAAAAGAGGCTGAACTATGGGGAGGGGGATGGATTTTCTCACTAGCTCCTTCTTATTTTTACATTTTAAACTAAAAAAAAAAAAGAGGCTTTTTGTTATTCAGGTTCCACTTTTGGTGAAGTAAAATAAAATCCAGTTTTCTAAATTTACATGAGGGAAGAGTAAGAGCTCACCACCAAAAAATAGCTATTTCTTTTCAGAAAAACTTGAGGCTTTCCACACCCACTCAGGAATTAGTGAAATTACTTATACTTAAATAGAAATCGATATAACCTATTATTCTATCCTGTTTTAGCTCTCTACTTCAAAACAAGTGGGCTCTGTGTTACTGGTTGAATTCTAAGCCCCATTTAGACATGTTCTACCTTAGAGCACTGCGATACTCCAGTTCACTCATTCATATTCTACCAGAAAAGAAAATCAACCTTCCAATCTGGTTCAAGAAGTAACTATTACAAAGTATAAACTTATTTGTAGATACACGATGAGAGACCAGTGCAGCAGAAATGTGGAAAAGTAGACATTTCAAGAAATCCTGAGCTGACACGTCCTGGACAAGCTTTTGTGATCCATGACAAATGGGGTCCAAACAATATGAAGTCGGAATCAGTGAAGGCAATGGCTTTTCTTGTCGTTTCAGTTTAGACAAAAATTGAAACCTGTTATTTTTCTGAAATTCCAGAATTGAGAAGGGTAGTAAGAATATTCTTAGAGGTCTAGATTCCATTTTGAAGACTCATGCATGGGGGAAAATCAGCATCTAGAACAACATGGAAAATATAGAGGTGGGGCTTGGGCAGTCACCAGTCCCAAAGGAGCAAGGAAGCCAGAGGACAAGTGACAGTTTTCTCTTCTCAAAACCCTGCTGTGGCAGTCTGATGTCTGCACCCAGGCCTTCACTTTCATTTGACTGAGGGCAACTATTAAAAGCACGGCCATGGGAACGAACCAAGACCTGGTCACATCTTCCCTGGCAGGAACACCAGTAAGAAACACCACCGAGAAGAGGGTTGATTCCTCCCGGACAAGAAGTCAGGAAACGTCACCTACTCTGGGAATGTCATAATCACACTTGCCACTTCCAGAGTGATGACCCTGAGCACATACGGGTTATCCAGCTCTAACCTAGTGGGAGGACATGCCTTCAGACAGCAACACAAGAAAGCTGTAAGTTAATCACCTGCCCTAAAGAAGGGAACCACCTAGTTCAAAGTCCAGCCATCCCCAGGATATGAATAGGAGAACATTTAATATGGGTTACCCAGTGAGGGGTCACTGGGAATTCTGGAGACAGGTTAGTCAGTCCACCAAAGCAGTGGGACCATGAAGGGCTGGGTTTCTGCAAGGAAACCAGTGTAGATGGCAGCTGTATGACCTCAGCTGCCATACCCACCCTCTCCTAGTCCTTAATGGTCCAAACCTCATGGAGTCATGACAAGTGAATATGAGGAGAGCCTCGTGTACAGAGCGTGGTACCTAATAATGCTCTCTCTCTATTTCTGTATATATCATATACTACTATGCTAATACACTTCCCTCCTAATCTATACACATAGATAATATAGACATATATACTGACATATACACATACACAGAAATACATATGTACATGCATGTTAGGCATGGCACATACAGCTTACTATGTGATTTTCAAACACTGAAACACTGGAACCCTCTTTTCAAAGCAAATCTTATGCTTTGCTCCTCTACCTGATATTTGGTTTCCCAGGACCTCCCTTATTTAGTAAAACCATCAAACCAAAGGAGGTAGTAAAGAACAGGAACTCAGTAATTAGATACAAGAGATCTGAAGGAACTGGATTTGAATCCACTCTTCACTGACTGTCACTAAGTGAAGTTCACTTACACACGAAATGGAACAATAATACTTCCACTTCATCTCAGGGCTGTAGTCACTGACCTTCACTGGGAACTCAGTAAATAGTAGTGGTTGCTGATATTCTTGGGGGCTGTCAAACCATACCACAAAACTTCTGTGTGTGTGTGTGTGTGTGTGTGTGTGTGTGTGTGAGATTCTAAACTCAGTAAACAGATGTCCACATGGCAAGACTTTTGGAGACAGTGTTCCAGTGTCCTTTCTGCTCAGTTTCTCACTGGAAGTTGATCACTGATTAATTTTGTTTCCACATCAGGCTCTTGTGAGTTGGGCTAGCATGACACTTGTCTAGTGCTAAAGCTTGACAAAACTGAGTTTCTAAACCACCAAAGCTAAGCACCCAACCTTGAACCCCAAAGGCCCCAGCATCACCTGACATAGATATAAATACCAAGGGTGTCAAAAAAAATGTACACATTTTAAGAGAATGTTATCTATGTATTGCTTTTTGAAGTTGAATTGAATTACAGTAGCAATGGGTAGTATGACGTTTGCCGAAAAGATGGCGTTAATCAAATGTTAGCATCATTCATTGTATTACAATTTTAATACAGCTTTTTTCCCTTCTTAAAATGTGTATACATTTTTTTTTGGCATGCTCTGTGTATGTACAATTTTTCAATAAAGCTGATTTTAACATTACCTAACAGAGCCACTTCCAAATTCCTGGTAGCTAGGTCACTTATCAGTTATTTTTTTGGTTGTTTACTGGAAAGCAAATTTGAGAGAGAAGGTTAAGCTCCTTAAATTTAATAAGCAGATATGTGTTCACTACTGTGCACAAGAGCCATTCAAGATTATGACGAAAGGGGTGAATCCTACGGAAGAAGGAGATGAGAGGTGTGGGGAAGTCCATATAAATGACATATATTATTTCACATACTTGACCTGCAAATATTTGCCAAGCTGGCTAAAAGTCCGCATTTGAGGATTACAGTAACACCAGGAAAAAAATTAGAGGTGTCCCTTTCTTGGTTTCTATTTTTAGTAGGTACACACACAAAAATGGAAGACTGCTGTTGGCCTCCAGTGACTTTCTCTGCCTGTAGCTTTCCCTTCTCTCTGTTCTGGGGCTGGACAAGGGTGCTGAAGGAGAGAGAGCACAAACCATGGAGAAAAACCAAAGCAAGAAACAAGCATTCTAGGAAGAACACTGAAACTTAGAACAGTTCCAGGTACAGAGACTCCAGGCCTCTTATGTTGTAGCCAGGGTATAGAACCATGACTGTGAGCCTCTGAACAATGTCACACACACTGCAGTGTGGTGACCAGCAGTGCCGGGCTGTCAGGGCACTGCTGTTCCACTGCCTCTGCGTCCTGGCGCACACACGCACGCACACAGGGCTCAGCACGGCCACTCAGGGATGACGGCCCTCACATTGTCTTCACCCATTCGTCTTACCAAGGCCATGAAGACTTAGAGTGGCTGTCATTTGTTACCATATTGCCCAATGGCTAAAAGAAGGACAGTTTCAGACAAGAAAGAAGGTGGGAATTGTTTTTATTTTCTCCAAAAAGACAGTAAAGCAATACAAAATTGTGTCTTTGTGGAGATCATTTGACTTCAGATTAATTTTTTAAAGGTCATGAAAATAGATTACAATTAAAAGTATGGGGTTTTTATTGGAGCATTTTAAACATTATCTTATGATCAACTTAAAAATAAAACCAAACTGCAGAGAATAACCTCTTAGAATAAAATACGATTAAATAATCTAATTTGTTACTGTCTTTTCATAGATCTTATTCGGTTACTAAAACACCAAGATTAAAATCACAGTACTTAATCACTTGCA